GTCACCACCGCCGCCCGCCCAGCAGGCCTTCTGGGTGCTCTCTGCAGCCTGCTTGCCTGCTGGGCTTACGTTGCTGAGGTGACACCGCCAGCGTCCTGCCCAGCCGCTATGGGCGCCGCCATCTTTGTCGCAGAGTGACGGCTAATTGCATATTACTCTTTTATTTAGATAAGATGTGTTTTAATTTTTATTTCCTTCAGAAACTATACTAAAATGCATGGTATAATTTATTTTTATCATTTAAAAACTATTTTTATTGATTTTAGAGAGGAAGGGAGAGTAATTTTTATTTCCTTCAGAAAATATACTAAGATGCATAGTATAATTTATTTTCCTGTATCATTTAAAATATATTTTTATTGATTTTAGAGAGGAAGGGAGAGGAAGAGAGAGATAGAAACATCAATGATGAGAGAGAATCATTGATCTGGTGCCTCCGGCACTCTCCCCCCCGACCCCTCACTGGGAAGCAAGCCTGCAACCCCGGGCATGTGCCCTTGACCAGAATCAAACCTGGGACCCTTCAGTTGGCAGGCCATGCTCTATCCACTGAGCCAAACTGGCTAGGGCCATAGTATATTTTAATTTATTTAAAATAAAACAAAAACTTAGAAAACATAAGCATAGATGGATTTTTAAAATGTTTATACCCTAATAGTTAGTGATGCTGAGCATTTTTTCATATGTCTCTTGGCCATTTATACGTCCTCTTTAGAAAAGTGTCTATGAAGGTCCTCTGCTCATTTTTTTAAAAATTGGTTTGTTTTCCTTTTGTCAAGTTATATGAGTACTTTATATAAAAATAAAACAAAAACTTAGAAAACACAAGCATACATGGATTTTTAAAATGTTTATACCCTGATAGTGATGTTGAGCATTTTTTCATATGTCTCTTAGCCATTTATATGTCCTCTTTAGAAAAGTGTCTATTAAGGTCCTCTGCTCATTTTTTAAAAATTGGTTTGTCTTCCTTTTGTCAAGTTATATGAGTACTTTATATATTTTGGAAATTAACCCCTTATCAGAAGATTAACAACAAATATATTTTTTTTAAAAATTTAAAAACGTGGATCATGAAATCAATCAAATGGGAAAGATCCAGCATTTTTAAACAAAGAAGGAAGAATGGCAGCAAAACTATAAAAAGTATTACCTATTGCACCAAAGGAGGATAGTAATCACTTGTGAAACACGTCATAATTTTGTGCACTGAGCCAATTTAGAAAACATGTTTCTGACGGCAGATGCATTTGAAAAAGCAGGGAAGCCACAGATTTGCAGAAAGATTACTGAATTGAATGAAGAGAACTGGAGCTCATCTTCTGAACACCACATGCTCTTGGGCAAATAGCAAGAGCTGTGAAATACCTGACCACTGAGGACCCTTTCAGTTATGATTAGAAAAATCTTATGGGTTGGTTTAAGAAATCAAGGCTAAAAATCTAAAGAAGTTTGCAAATCTCTGAAGTTGCCATTTCTATGTGTCAAATACATTCAGAAATTTTTATTTCTTTGTTAGGTCAAAATAGTAAGGTTAGAAATTGAAGTAATACAGTGAACAGCTGTAGTTAAGACCTGTAGGTTGAAAAAAATAAATAAAAATACAAAAACAGTGAGGGGATATCAATCTTCTGACCATTGGTAAAAAATAAACCCAAGTGAAACTAACAAACACAAAATGTGAAGAGCTTCTATAGGTGTGTGATTGTGGACTACTTTATATGTGCTTTTTATGAATCGTATTTACAAAAAAAGTAATA